TTCTTCAGACTAGAATTAAATGTGCTACAAAACTGCATACCAGAATTTTTTCTAAAGATTCTGATTAAAAAGTTTGATATTTGGGTGAAAAATTGCAAAATTTTTTTAATTTTTATACAAAGTTTAAAATCTGAATTTATATGGTGTTTGTTGTATAGCCAGCTAGGCTTTTATAAAAAAATAATAAACATTAAATAAACAAAAGACAAATAGCCAAAACTGGTCAAAATATCGCACTCCTATTATTTTGTGGACAACTGTATCTCTAAAAGGATTTTGTGCGTTCTTCCATTGCCGTACGTACAGTAACGATTTTCTGCTTACTCCGTTGTTGTCCGTTGTTGTGTATGAAATTCAAACTGCTACCGTCATTTAAATCACAAAAAAAAAAAAATCGTTTTGCTGATTCACGATTCTGCCAAAGAAAACCGTGAATTGAAGTTTATGAGCTGCCAATAACTCTTCAGAGACAAAATGAACTGATAAGAGAAAGACAAAAAACTAAGCAAAATAAATTAAAACAAATGACAGCGAACAAGCATTGACGTTAATTTGCATTTAGCAACCGATGAAATATTCGTTTTTATTTTATGAAACCAGTTCTTTTGAACTTTTACTACTTTAGGGTTTGGTTGCTTGCGTGCTTTTGATATATCTCTATTTGTGTGATGTTCTTTATGGTTGTTTATGCTTAGTTCGACCCTGTCTTACGCCTTAAATTTTTGACTATAGTCATATTAACGAAGTAATGCATAAGTCATAATGGGTTTTATAAAAGAGGTCTTGTTTTCTGCACAGCGATAAAAACTAATAGTTGATTTCCACCAAGCCTTAACTGCAGTTTATGCCCTTTGAAAAACGAAGATTACAACTCGAAGGGGGTAATTGAGTAGAAGCGAACGAAAGGAAAAAAGCAAAACCTAAGACAAAAAAAACCTTTCCGATAACCCCATTTTGGAATTATTTGAACTTATCTGAGCTCTTAACTGCAGTTAAGCCTTTGGTGGGAATAGGCTATAAGTTTTCTTGCCATTAAAAAATATTGCTATAGATTTTTGTCGTCGAGATTCAAAAAAATTTGGAACACAGATAGGTTATAAGCTTAAATAAAATATGGGTTTAGGTTAAAATAAATTAATTAATA